CCCCCCCCTCAAGCAAGTCCTGGCGCCACCCCTGAGTCTACGCAAGCACCATCACCACACACTTTATTATTAACTGGATCGTAAACTTCGACACAACAAGAATATCGCCAAGTTAAAATATTTAATTCTCATTTTAATTAATTGATTTTATCAATTTATATTTAAATCTGCTTGAATAATGCCTTTTTCCATATTATCCAATTTTAATAGAAATAGTTTTGTCTTTATCATTAAAATTGATTCCTTAATTTTAGGAATAAAGCGTTCACTATTTCAAACGGAACGGTAAAAAAGGGGTGGCGCCAGCAGGGTGGTGGCCCGCACCTCCCCCTTCCCCCACTTCGGTCGGGAAGAAAAACCACAATTTGTCGCGAGGAGAAAAAGCAAATGTAAATGCATTTCCTACATATTAGTCGACTCTAAAATCGATTAAATATGCCTTGGAAATCCTTAAATTGTCGTTTTTTCGGGTTTTTCCCCTTTGGAACACATCGCATCCCCTATCGGGCAAGTCTTGGCGCCAACCCTATGGTAAAACAGGGGTGGTAAAACCGCCGGAAAACTCGCAATTACGTACTTTTTTCGCATACGTACCGTACGCACTGGAAGCATATTTGTGCATTAAGTGAAAAATGGGTTGTAAAAAGTTAACGTATTGGTTTAGAGTATGCGCGATATAAAAGTACTTCACCGTGAAACTTCTCTTCACTGTACTTGTCTACCTGTAATTCTTATGCACATGCGTACAACCTGGAAGTCGCTTAACCACTAAGTCACAACTGGGCACAATACAACTCCCTTTTCTGATAATTTAATAGGTCGTCAGATCACTTAGAATTACCGTCGTTTATAATGCGTGTTGATTTCTATAAGGACTGACCGCTTAGCGGCAAGGTGTGTTCTGGGAAGCACTTTTATTTTTATCTGACTTGGGTCAGTGATCGTTGTGTCGGAAATCCTTGTCTGGATGAATTAGTAAGAATACTATGGCGCGCTGTGAATATATAGCACACACGCTCAACCTATTTCAGCTCCCAAGGTGCATTGCTCATCATGTTTTTGCTGCCATAGCGACCACACTAAGCCTGTCGATGTAGGCGATTGTTTTATGAATCATTAATATTAAGTACATGCAATTTGTAACTCATGTAACACTTAAAGTATAAAATAAACAGTCGGATTTGACACGGCAAACAAAAGGAACTTCGCCTACGTCGGAAATATATATCAGTCGTCACACAATGATCAGCAGGCGCGTTCCAAATACTATTGTTTATTAAAATTTCAAAGCATCGTATGTTATTATATTTCTATTCGATAATATCACGGCTTCTGCAAAGATGTTAATTCTTAGCTTGATAAATACATCAGCTTGATAAAGATTTACAATTGAAAGTACTCGCAAGTTTTCAATCAATTTTGTGCAATGATTTACTCGTTATTTACTGCATGTTTGCCTAACAGCTACCACGATACATTAGAGATCAGAAAGCATAGAATTTTTAAATAAATTTATCCGCACGATTTTAGATATAAAACAATACTTGCAAAAGCCTTTTGTTATACACGTTTATAGATAGGAGCTACATTCGCACGTGTACGTTTGTAGACCCAAAAATATAACATATTACCTTACTCGCACGAGTAAGCGCCCGGGTGCTTAGAAATATTTTTCACTTTTTGAGGGACTTTTTTTAAAAGGGCGCTTAATTAAACGGGGTGCTTATGAAAACAGAGTTGGGGGAAGCGCTTATGGAAATAGATGAAAATTGAGGAGTGCATACGGCAAATTGGAAAATTCAAGGGGCGCAATTTGAATGAAAAAATATTATTCATAGTATACCCCATGAACGAAGCCCAGTTTAAGTAACGATGTGAAGTCGAGTACATATAGAGGACGATAAACATAAATGACAACAATCAAAATATTAATTTAATGATTCTCGCTCTATACGAGTTTGTTTTATTCACAATCATAACCGGTAAAGTACCTATACTTTAAATAGTATATAAGTTCATCACTTCCAATTATACTGTACAGTACGGTACATCACCGACTTGTTCAGTGTTCATGCATTGTTAAAATCCCGTTCTTGTTTTATTGCTAACTTGTCATCATCTTGGATTTAGTACTACAGTATTTAAAATCTAAAAATTAAAATACTGTATGGCCATATACAGAGTTTTTGTTTTCAGTCAACAAAAATAAACTTACCTTAACACTCGCACGATTTTTTTTAGGAATCAGGTGCGCTTATTCAAACGGGCGCTTATTTTCTTGCAAGTGCGGTAAAATAAAATAAGGCTACATATTTGTTTTGCTATATTTTTATTAACATCATCAATATCCGAAGTCTTATAATTCTTTAATATTTGATTGATAATAATAATAACAATAATAATATTAATAATAATAATAATAATAATAATAATAATAGTAATAATATTAATAATAATAGGCCTAGATGGATTTATATTGCGCAAATAAACGAGGTGTCAATGCGCTCGAAGAAAAAAAAAAGGTAAGAAGACAACGAAAAAAATGGATAAATAAATAAGCAAAAAAACCCCACCAAACTATGGTGTTACACCGTTGCCTCCAACAGGAGATCTGTGTTTATGTACTCCGGTTAGCATCGTTAGCATGATATGGTGTATTCTACTTTTTATCTATAGGGCCTATACGGTACCGTATATAGTTAAATATTTATTGAAATAAACTCTAAATCTTGTGGTAATGTTATAATTATAATGTAATGTAATTTAATTGAATGTTAAAGCCAGCCTCCGGAGAACATTTTTTATATGTTCTATTAACTGATTTTGGGACACTAGGGAGGGGGATTGGGGGGGGGGGGGGGTGATGAAGGCAGAAAAGGGGCTCGTTACTCCCCTTTCTCCTCCTGTTTTTAAATATTAAACATCTGTATCTCATTGACCGTCCCTATAAGTTTTTTTCCATCAAAGAATCCGTTATAAAACGTATCATTTTTTTTCTTCCGGAGCCTGGCTTTAAAGAACAGCAATCTGCAAGTGTGAAAAAACGTTTCCCCACAACTTGGATTCGAACCTGGAATTTCTTCTGTCTCTAGACGCCTTAAATAACTGCACACTGGGGGTTTGTTGGTGTTGGAATTAGAATCGACTTATTTTTCTCACTCAATGTCACGTAAAACGGAACATAAATCTATTATACGTTTTGAGCGTTTTAGCGTTGTTTTGGAGACAGACTATGCAAGTATGGTCTTCTATGATTGGGATGTGCATTGCAAAGACTAATAGTGTCGTGCAGGTGTGAGCTAAATCGTTCCATTTGTTGGTTGGTGGGTGGGTTTTAAGTATCAAATAAGGAAAGCATTAATAATTTCAAAGTGAATGAAAATACGAAACTTTGTTGTCAATATACTGGGGAAGGGTTAACGGTATTTAAACAAATTCAATTTTTTTTAAATTATTCAAATGAGATTCAACATGGCTGTAGGCTGTGGGTACAGGGGTGCAGACGCACCCCAACAGTGGCAAATTAATTTTGGTTTATAAAGATAAAAATGACCATTAATTTTTCATTGAAATAGGGATTTATTTCCAATTCTCAATTTTCGCAACCCACACCCCAGATCAAAGCCCCTGTTTAAGACACAGGTGGTTCAGCAAGAGAGTGGAATAAAACGAATAAAACTAAGCGGATCATGTAACTCGTCTTGTTTAATGCAGCAATATGTCCGTAC